GGTGAAGCCAAGTACCTTACACAAGTTCTGTTTTACTTTCCTCCGAACAGACTCACTGTTTGCCAGTGACGTTTGACTGTGTGTAACGTTTGGAGAAAACACCGGGCTCTGAGCAGCCGCGTTAGTTGTTGTGAGTGAAGCTGTTGGGGACGTTGGTAGATGATGTTCTGAAAGGTCTGGTTACTGTGATGAATTGCATGCAAAGTAATGCATAGTTGGCTTGAAGGAACAGGCCCTAAATCCCATTTTCTTGGTTGATTAATTCTGGAGCAAAAGGTGTAATTTCTGGAGTATAATTTCTGACATTCTTTTTTTGAAGAAAGCAATAGTGCGAATTACTATATTCCTACTTGTAAAATATCACTGATTGAGCCTCAGAGCTACTGGCCTTTGGTTTATTAAAAATAGTGTTACGAGTAAAAACAAGGGAGACATGGTTTCACTTGTGCTAGAATTTTAATGATATACAATTTTTTCTAAAATTACTGGGAAGATAGGCTACTGCCGCTTCAGTGCCATAAATTTGTCAGGATCGGAAATGATCCCAATCCAGTGATTATTTATTGAGCGTAACATGGTTTCTTCTGCACGCGTTACAGGAATGCTCTGACTCTGGGAGTAAGTCTTCCTCTGTGGAAATGCTTCTACGAAAAACGGGACCCTTGGCAATTATCCGTACATAAAAATGCTGATTTTGCCCAGGCTTACTCAGCAGTTCCTCGACTTCCACTTGTGGGGTGTGAGGTGCAGAAGGCTGAATTCTCATAAGGTGTCTGGGCTCTGTGGTGGCCCTGGTCAGAGGGGAGACTGAGAACTGCTGGGGATACTGAACATCCTCAGGACAGGCTCTTCCTTTCTCATCGCGCTGGGTGGCTTTTGTAGCTGGTCTGTCCAAGACAGTGCTGCTGAGTAAGAATCGGAGCCCTCCGGTGCATGGGGCATCCGTATAGCTGACGGGAAGCTGAGATTTTGAACGCTCTGTTGCAGAACTGGGTACCTAAGCTGATTTGCTTTTGGCCATATCAGTCACAGTAGTTTTTAGAAGTATCGCACTTCAGTTTTGCAACAAGTCGACTTGGAAAGTTTAATGAAGGTGTGTTCAGACACCTTGTTTGTAGGCCAGGCACCTGTCCAGTGCCGTAATTGCCTTCTCTCCTTGCTAGAGCCACACTTCCTCATACTTTTCCCCTGGCTCAGGAGGTAAAATCTTTAGGACTTCAATTTTACCATCAGATGAATGGTCCCTTTGAACGCTGTTTGCCTTATCGTGTATTGCCTGTCGCTGAAGTACTGCTCTTGGCTTAAATGATGGGAGAGTCAAGCCTTGGCAAAGCCTATTTCTACTATGTTTCATAAGAACAAGGTCGTTCTCAGGCCACCTCTTAAATTCTTATCCAAAGTTGTCCTGGTTCCCAGCCATTAACCTCCAAATTTCCTTTCCCAGTCCTTGTGCAACCCCAGGGAAAGGTAAATGTCACACAGTTGATCTAGTGTGAATTCTGTGTTCTGCACAGATGAGCAAGAAATTTGGAAATGCTCTTCTCTGCAAATTCTCATGAGCAGTTACAGTTATAGCTGAGATATTGTCCTCACAGGTTAGTTGGGAAAACAGGAGTGTTCACCTGAGGAGGAAATAGGGATTTAACCTCTTCAGGTAATGGTATCGTGGTCCGGTGGAGCTTCTCCCAGTAAAGTTTGTGTGGTCTCTGCTGATTGTTTGGAAAATGTCCCGTTTTTAAATCTCCCGAGCAGGTACGTGACGGTTTATCCACACCTGTACTTTGTATTGCTTAATTGCTTGCTAATGAAGAAACGCTGCCTGCAGTACCCAGCTCTTTTCTGGTACGCCTGCTGCTGTGTCTTGGTGTTGCACAGCTTTGGAACATCCCACACCGAGCTATGTTTGCCCTTTCCTCTTGTGCCCATTCTTGCCTTTCCAATCACTTGAATCTGCAGGAGAAGCATTGAGGAATTGAGTTTTCTTCAAAAAATGGTGATCTGTACGGTAGTTTAAAAGGCAAAAGAAATGTGAGGGAAAATGAGATGGTTAACTCTACACGTTTTGAGACCTTTTCCTGAGACTCGACTTGGAAGTAACCTTTCTTCTGCTCAGAATTAAACAGATTCCTCTCTGGCTTCCAGGGAGACACTGGTGACACTTCTCACACTGATCTGACATCTTCTTTTCTTGATAAAAGGGTCAGTCTGCTGAGGAAACTGACTGCACCTCTGAATGAGCTGTCAAAAGGCTGCGTGTGAGCGTCCGAAGGGAAATCTCTGCTGACTGCGCAGGCCCGCCTGTTGCGTTCAGCCCCCTCTTGACTCATCAGAAATCATTTAGTGCTTGCAACCAAACCTGAAAGAAGTTCAGACTTCAGAACTGATCTGCCCCACTTACCCTGCCCACAGCCCCCGTCACTGTAACCCACTTCTTACAGGGGAACACCCCCTAACCCCCTGCCTTCCCTAAGCGACCTGACCAGGCCCCAGGCCTGATGATCCCTCATGTCAGTGTGGGGAAGACTCAGATTATGGCTGTGCTTGGTGAGATATTTTCTTTTGAGGTAGTTCCTGTAACAAAAAGATCCATATTTTTATCTAATTCTCAAGGGAAGTCAACGTTTGAAAAGACAAACCAGGAAACTAAAATTCCTCCCTCTCCCAGAAAAGGGAAGTTGTGGCGTTCGTAGCGATGTCCATGCCGCCCGTAGCGGTCGGTCTGGCTGCCCGTGGCTGCGCTGTTCGCTGCCCGCGGCGTGGGCCCCGCAGGAAAGGGGGGTCCCAGGTAGACCCTGCCCTCAGCCCTCCCACACGGCAGGTCCCGGTTTCCAGGCTGAGCCCCGGCAGGTGCAGGAGGGGAGATGCCGGCTGGGCTGGCGCGCAGAGGCGCTGGGAGGGGACAGCAGGGAGGGTGGATGCTGAAGATGCTGCGGAGCTGGCGTGACCCACAGGGACGGCGTCCAGCTGAACCTTGAACATGGGAAACCTCCTCCCGGCATCTTTCTGCACTGGCTGATTAACGCAGGAGTTAAGCCGGAGTCATTATGAGTTGTTTTTAAGTTTGAACCTGAGTTTGCTGCTGGTTTGTGTGGCGGCACCATGTGCCCAAGAGCCTGTCTGCATTCTTCAGCCAGATCAGCTTGTTCAATAAATGTTACGTCTTGAGCTTCTTGTGTACTCCCCAGCTTTCAGAGCCACGACAGTGTCGTTACTGGAAGGATGATCATAGTGGTTTGGAGATGTTTTATTTTGAGAGAAAGAAAATAATGAACCTCTAGTGTGGTCTCTTTTCCTACAATGGCAAAACTTTAAAAAGAAAAAAACCCTTCATTGAAAAGGGGCTCATAACAGTCAAACAGCCACCTTCCTGTCAGATGTTGGTACGGGATGTAGGCGCTCGGCGGCGGTTGGACGCGCGTGCGCACGGTGCGGGTGTTCGCCGGCGGCGAGGGGGGAGCACGGTTCTGTGCACTCGGTGTTTTCACTGGGGGTTCCTCCTGCTGCAGCTCAGGTACTCTGCCCAGAGCCTCTTCGACTACATGAAGACAATCCAGAGCGACTCCAGCGCGATGGAGGGTTTTTGTGAGACGCTGCTGAAGGTCTTTGAGGACAACCTGCGCAACGACCGGTAAGGGTTGACAGCGGGGCTGTGGGGGGTTGGAGGTGGGGCACATCTTTCCGAACAGGCCCGGATGAAGTGTCCCCGAGCCGTGTGAATTTGCTTCCGGACAGCCCTTTGGTGCAGCCAAAATGTGTGACAGAGGTGTGATGGTGGAGTATTTAGTTTTTGCTGGAGTTTACTGTCGCGTGGGATGGGATGAAGCACCAGTTCTACAGGATGCAGCGCTGGGGATTGTGTACTGCTGCTCACGTCTCAGTGCAGTCCCGTCTGCCTTTCGTTCATGTCGGCTTTTTTCCACAAGGACTTGGAAGTATAATTTTTTTCTTTAAAGGTGACTCATTCTGCATAATGCCATTAATTTCTCTAAGCCTCACTTATCAAACACGTGCAAAACAGAAAATATTCCCTAGGGGAAGAACCCCCGTAACTGTTCATAAAATCTGCAGTTTTATTTTCATCCTCTTTCTTGTCTCAGCTGTTGAAATAGAAAACGTGGCCACAGTTACTCCAGCTGGCGCACGGCGTGCTGGCTCGCTTGGTAGTTACCTGGCGTCAGGTGGGGGTGTAACCGCTGGTATGGTTTGTGGAATACGTTCTTTATGTACTAGAAAATAAACGAGTATTTTCTGCTACTGTTAATTGTGTTTCAGGACCCTGCAAGTTTCAACCAGGCATCTGGTTAATTAGGTTTTTTTCCTTTGGGCTGTAACGGAACGTCCCCCGCTCAGCCAACGGGGATGATTTAGCCAACACACGGAAGTTACCGAGCAACCTTCCCCTCTGCAAATTAGAGTTCCAATTTAAATATGTAGTAGGCAGATAGGAAGTTTCTGTCTTTGCTTCTGATTAAGCACAGGGTATGTACGTATGCCAGGAAGTGTATTTACGTTGTTAAATGATTTTCTTTCATCAGGGTGTCTGTACCTCTCCTGACAATGCTGGACCAAATGCTGGCAAACGGCTGTTTTGACATCTTCACCGTGCAAGAGAAGTAAGTTGCTGAAAGGCTTTTTGGTTTGTTTTCCACCACGCAACAGGCCTCCCATGACGGCCGTCGCAGGTTGCTGTACACGTGGACGCACAGGACTCCCCTTGTGAGTGTGCATGGGTGTAACGTTTTTTCTGGCTGGGAAAGCTGTGAGAAACTCCGTGCCAGGCAGCTGTGAAAGGGTCTGGGTACAACCTGGGACTGGCCTGTCAGCGTACAAGTTGGTTATTGGTGCATTGTTTAACAGGCAGCACGCTGAGAGACGTTGGCGTCTCTCACCTGGCATCCCTCTCGCCGCTTTCTGGAGCACGTTCCTCGCCGTGCAGCGAGCCTGCGGCGGTGTCCCGTGGGGATGCCGCACAAGAGTGTGCCCGCGGGCGAGCGCTTCCAAAACCCCATGACTTGTGTTAATGCCAGTATCTCCAAAGGCGTTGATTAACGTTCTGAAAGGAATAATAAACGAGGCACGTCCCAGCTTTTCCACCCCGGGTTCAGTCTTCGGGAAGACAAACATGAGTAAGATACCCCAGTGTGAAGTTGTTTTGGAAGAGAATGATTTTCATTTCAGTGATATTAAAACATATTCCATAAACTCTCTCAGGCAGCATCTTGGCACACCTACAGGTCTTTGCAGAACTGGGCAATGTGAATCCATGAGCATGCACACTGGATCTGGAAGCTGTTGATTCAGGAATTGCTCACAGCAGATCAATTTGAAAAGCTTTTTTCACTCTGAAAGTTTTAATTGCATCTGCTCTTCCTTTGAAGTGTGGATTGAGATAATCTCTCCTAAATCAAATTTGGCAGTCCCTTTTTGAATAGGAATTTAAAATGAGTCAAATACTCGCAGATGGAAGGAATATTTCTTGTTGGGTTTGGTAATCGCGCCGGTGATCTGGGACTCCCACGTAGGCCCCAGTCCTCCCTGCTGGGGAAGGCGATAGATTGGGGGTGGAAACCCCAGGTAAAGTCTGTCTCCCACGTCACGGAACAGACCGCGCGTGGCAGTGCCGCTGCGAGAGACGCGGCCCTGTGGTGGGGAGGGGGAAAGAATTTGAAGCTGATCCAAATGTATTTGCTTCCGGTTTGATGATGAAACCAAACAAGAAAAGTAATAATTACGCAGCCCAGTGGATCGTTCTCATGGCAGGGGAATGAAGTGCTGGCGTGAAGTGCAGGAACTGGTGACCACACGAAAGCTCTGGAAGGTCAGAGCTGCGGAGTCGGAAGGCAGCTAGGAGGAGACAGTCCGGTGCCTGCGTGTGACGGTGTCCTGGTGACACAGGTACCTTAGGGTCGAGAGGCACTCACGAAGGAGTGGCTGAGCGTGCTTCACGCGGAGGCGAGTGAATCCGAGCGGCGGTGTGCAGATCAGCTGTGGGGGTACGGGGGGAGCCCCAAGCTGTGTTTAGCACAGCACTTGCAGTTTCGGACTGTGGCGTGTGGGTCGGGAAGCATGCACGCTGGTCCTGGCTCCCAGGCCTGCCTGCCCACACCGTGGGATGCCACCTCCTCCTTTCTGCATGGAGGAAAAGTGTGACTTCGGGCTTGGCTTCCTGAGAGGGACCGTTTCCTCCTGTTTCAAAGCAGCGTGGCAGCAGATCGTAGAAATACAGCCCAGAATTACCCTGGAAATGGAGGTACTCTGCTTGGTGGCAGGGAAATCCGTGTGCGCGTGGGGCTTCAGACGCTCTACATGAGTGTGCCTGAAGCGAGAGGGGGGAGGTGCACGGTTGATTGTAGAGAACAGTCAGTCTTACTGCTGGTGAGCAACTTCCTTGCTGCTTCTGTTCAGCCGTGAACAGCTTGGTTGTCCTACAGCAAATGAAAAACTTCTCGGAGAAGCTGGGAAGGAATGTCAGCATTCCTTGCGGTGTTTCATCTCCTTCCCTCACGTTTTACCACGTTGGGCTGAGTGGGACTTTAGCGAGGAAGCTTGGGCCGTAGGGTGTCTGACAGCAGGATTAGGCCTACACCAGCGCTCAGTGTTCAACTGTCACGCTATAAATAGGTATTTGGAAAAGCATTTTCAAGTTTCAGATGGATACCGCACGCCATCCTGGCTCTCTTTTTTCCCTAATGAAACTTCAGCAGCCCCGAGCTGGCAATACCCTACGCTCTGAGTGTGAACAGACACAGAGCTGTGGGCTGCTCCGACACCGCGAGGAGCTCAGCGCTCCGGTAAAGCAATTGCCACACGGTGTCACTCCTGCCCCGCCGAGCCATGACCCGCCGCGCATTCTCCTGCCTTTCACACCCTCCAGCTCGTGAGGTTTGGAATACGCAGCTTGGCATTTCTGGCCTGGTTTAGTAGATGAATTGCAGTGTTGGTGAAGCTGTGGGGGGCTGGGCTTGCGACCTCTGTGCCGGAGTGTTTCTCCTCCATGGTCGTATTTTGGGTGCTGGTGTTGAAGGTGCTATTTGCGTGC